TCAGTGTTGGAAAAAGAAACTATGTGTGTATTAAACTGAACGCGAATAGTATGGATATACACACACACACAGATAACTGGGGATGATTCATACAGAGGAAGATAAAGAATCAAGGACAGATGGAGAGCGAGAGAGTAGATCTGTTCTCCTGTCCTAGAACTATGTCACTGCTGTTGGGTAACAAAATGCAATTGTGAAGACAAATAAATGGGACAAAATAGACTCCATTGTGATCTATAAATAACCAACGAGTCAGGTCAAGTCCATGGATTTGCTTAATGGATCAAGAATATTGTACTATATGAATCACAGCCACTTACCTGCTGAGCTTATAAAGGCTGGAGTCTTCATCACTGCTAATACATTGACATCTTGTGGTATATTACAGTAATGCAACTCAATTCATTCCCTGAAGCCTGAAGGAAGCAATTTATTGAAAACAACAAATATCACACACACACACACACACACACACACACACACACAAACATATATACATTTTTGTGTACATATTTGTGGAAAGTGCCAGAAGCTTCTATTTTTAACATTAAACTATTTGTATTTAATGTTATTGTATATGCAGAGTTATTTAAACTTCTGAAACGTGAAAAAGTTTGATACTGTATTTCTCTGGCTGGCCTCAAAGTACAGCACTGCCCAAACATCTGAGTTCTGATGATAATCACACCACAAAATGAAAAATATTGCATGAATTCGTCTTCGTATACAGGTGCATCTCAATAAATTAGAATGTCGTGGAAAAGTTCATTTATTTCAGTAATTCAACTCAAATTGTGAAACTCGTGTATTAAATAAATTCAATGCACACAGACTGAAGTAGTTTAAGTCTTTGGTTCTTTTAATTGTGATGATTTTGGCTCACATTTAACAAAAACCCACCAATTCACAACCACCTCAGCAGTGCCACAAACTGATCACCTCCATGCCACGCCGTATTGATGCAGTAATTAAAGCAAAAGGAGCCCTTACCAAGTATTGAGTACATGTACAGTATATGAACATACTTTCCAGAAGGCCAACATTTCACTAAAAATGTTTTTTTTATTGAAGTATGAAGTTCTTATGAAGTATTCTAATTTGTTGTGAATTGGTGGGTTTTTGTTAAATGTGAGCCAAAATCATCACAATTAAAAGAACCAAAGACTTAAACTACTTCAGTCTGTGTGCACTGAATTTATTTAATACACGAGTTTCACAATTTGAGTTGAATTACTGAAATAAATGAACTTTTCCACTACATTCTAATTTATTGAGATGCACCTGTATACTCATGCATAACATTGCATCCTTCCACTGCCTCACGATTAGCTTCATCTACCAGAATGGCTACACAGCACAGCAGAAAATATTTAAATAAAGATGAGATCCTCAAAGATGAGCTTTGATTTGGGAAAAGTTGACATTCTGCCTCACTGTTTTGCTACTTATTAAAAAAATGCTTCTTTTTTAAAGTTTTTCCTCCCTTTGTGAATACACCGTGATGGCGGTATGTTTCCTACATCTTCATTGCTCTCAGAGAAGAGGTCAGGATGACTCCAGGCAATGAAGTGGCTAAAAAAATGAGTTTCAGTCCATTAGACAAATTATGCCTGTTTTTTGTAAGCCACAGAACAAAGAATCAAAAGCTTCTGCTCCCCTTTGCAATATTTACTGGGAAACTTTGTCAGATGAACAGAGTGCACAAGTCAGTTCGAAGCTGGCTGAAGACTGAGCAAGACAATTTGTTGACAGAGGTTATTAATACGATTAAGAGACTCTCCTCAGATCAAAAACGTGGAACCATAATTGATTTTAATATATTACCCATATATTACTCTTATAAAAAAGATCACATAAAGTCCATAGATAAATAAAGCATTCATCTTTTGAATAACGGTAAAATCTATATGTATTGTAAACTTACTAAACTTGTTATAAAGAGAGTGTTTTGATGCTTGGACTGTTTGGATGTTTAACTCAACAGAGGCAGATTACTTCAGTTTTGGAGGCAAAAATCAGTGTGCATAAGAAACAGCTCCTTGAGCAAATTATGTTTACAGCCACAGTCTGGGTTGAAGAGATCTCTATTAGAATGGGAAATCTGACAGGACCAGTCAAGGCTTATTTGGTCTTTGACCCTGATAAGTATGCTCAACAGTGTGCTAGTAAAGCATAAAAATATCTCCAATAAGACCCTCAATAATATCACAATGACTTGTGGGCAGGTTATACTAAAATAAATCTACCTATATTTATATCTTTATTAATCACTGCTCTTGTCAGGCGTCACTGCTGCACAGACCACTGAAGACAGGCTTCTCCTCCTTACCCCAGTCTATTACTTCATCCCATTTGTTCCACAGCATCCAGTAGTAGAGACAGAGGACTGTAAATTATGCATTGCTATATAGCCGCACAAATTTACAGCTGCACAACTCAGACTTATCATGAAGAAATATGAATGATCTGAGCAGAGCAGCGATTGTGCTCAATTTATATTGTTCTATGGAATCCAGACCACCAACAGCCTTGGCTTATTATTTTACAGCCCACTGTGAAATCATTACTGCAAGAAAACTTCCATTTACTTGTTTCAGCTTATAAATAACATCCATGGAAGCTTTTTGTCCGAATGTCATGTACTTTAATTAGTAGCAGCCAAATATTGTGGCAGAATATTAGTCTATATATAACAAGACAATAATGTAATTATTATTTTTTGTCAATTTTTAGATATTGTCAAATTATGTTACAAAACATGTACAAATATTAGTTGTCTAATATTAGCCATAGCAACACAAATGAGTTTTATTTTTAAACATTTATATTTTATTCCAAATTTAACATTTAATTTTAATAAACACACATTCGGAAATGTGATGGAATTGACACTGTGGAACTACCTTTTTGAGTTAACATGAACTGATGTGCGAAGCAGTGATTTAGGTTTTTAGGTAATTCAGGACATAAAATGGTAATGATCTGCTATGTGACAGAGAAAAATTAATTTTGCCACTGGATACACACACACATACAATGAATGAGAATATGGTTTGTAACAAGTTTATTAAGAAGCAAATCAAACATAACACTTCAGTTAACAGTCCTCCTTGCTTAAAATTAAAAACAGAAAAAGAGCTAAAACCAAAGACCATATAAAAGCATCCCCACTTCTTTAGGGGGGCAAAGGGGAAAAGGAAAGCAATATCAATACAGAAATACACATTTCATCATAGCGGAACCTGATAATGAAATAAAGGTATACCTGCATCAATAACTTAAAACAATTAAGAAAATAAACATTTTATTTATTCATTCATTAAAAAAAGAGCCATCCACTACCTGGTGTGTATTTTGCCTTAATGCCAGCATTAAGTCAAAAGGGATGAGAGAGAAACTAACAGAGGGCCAGCAAAGGTTCTTTCTTTGATACACAGCATAAGACACACCTAGAAGCAGAGAGTTGATCTGCAACACTAATTAAAGCAGGACTGTTTTGTGGACTCTGGTTTGGTCAAGTTCTTTGTCTCTGGCATCTTCAAAATATACCCAGACCTCAATAACCTCCTGGTGCCAGGTCTCTGACCATAGTGTGGTATAAAAGACCACTCCAACTATATAAAGCTTTAACGTTCTACAAAACCAACATTAGCTTTTCCTCAACACTCAGACAACATGAACTTGCTCTCTATAAATAAGCTCTCATTTGTGTATTTGGTTTAAGCTAGAGGTAGGCCGTACCTTCTGACTTCAGCATCCCACCCAAAAAAGGTTCTTGGCCCTTAAATTCTTACCATTGGCTGTGGTAAATAAAAAAGAACATGAAACGAAATGATGCAATTACGCTAAATGTTGATTATGTTCTAAATCAAATGTCATGGAAGGCAATTTGTGTTTCCATTTATGTTGTATAGTTAAGTTGTTATTCTTTTACAAGCTTTAAAATGATAGAGTAACTTGGTTTCTAACCTTTCTTTCCTTCCCTACTTTCCTTTCACTTTATCAGCGATTTTTCCTTAACAACTAACATCCAGTCCAACCGCACTGACTGTCCAAAAACACTGAATCATCTTAAACAGATCCCAGGACCTTTGACCAAAGAGGCACACTAATGCCCTCTATTTGACCTGATGGAGAATAATGTTTTATCCCAGTTTTATGATTATACTTGCATATATAATAACAGAGTCAGATATTAAATGTTCAGGAAATTTAGATCTGTCTGGAAGTGGCAGATATATGATTTACAAATATTACTGTCATTTAATATTGGTAGTTACTGTATTCTTTATGTCTCCTTTCTGAGTGTTAAAAAACCTTTTATAGGAGTCATATCTGGTATATATTGTAAATTGCATAAATTCACCTGGTTTTATAAGAATGGAGGGAGTTTTAATGTCAAAGTCTCTTCAAAATCCAAAGAAAACAGACAGGAAAATAATGCAGT